CATCCTGTACACTATCATATGCATTAATCCGATTTTGAATAAAAAGACGTTTGTAATGACATTTGAATGAATGAATAATTCCTGCATCACATGGTTGAAGTTCCGTAGTAGTATTTGGTGGAAGAAATTTTACATCTATACAATCTAATTTTTCTTGAGTTTCATCTAAAATAAGATGTACCGGTGCATTATCAATTAAAAAAATAATCTTTCGATTTTTTCGTTTCATTATTCCATTAAGTTTAAGAAGAACTTCATTAAAAATGCTAACTTGCATCCAAGCTTTCTTATTCCAAAAATAATAAACAGGAAGATTTTTATAGTTAATATTTTTCATAACGCGAGGAGATTTATACTTATGAATAAATGTAAGAGTCATTTTTTCTGTTCCAGTTGCATTTGCTGCACAAAATATTGTAACTCGAGATTTTTCTTTTTTATGACCTGATAGAGGAGTACGTGCTAAAACTCTAGAAGGTTCCATTTTCCAAAAAAGACCAGTTTCATCTCCATTCCAAATATCTTCAGGATTATAAGGCATAAGAAGTTGTTGTAAAGCAAGACGGTCATTTTCTATTGATTCAGTTGAAGGTGCACTTGCAGCTTCACCTTGTTTCTTAAACTGACGTAAACCATGCCGTTTTTTAAAACCACCTAACCATCCCTCAGAATAGTGAAAATCTTCTATAGAAAGTTGATTAGCAAAATAACTTGCTTTTGTTTTTAAAATATTACCATCTATATCTTGTTTTGTATTAAGCGCATTATCAACCCAAAGGCCAAGTGCATCTTCAAGTTGAGGCCACTTTGGACCACAAAATTTTTTAACATTTTCTTGACTTTCTGAGATTGAAAGCCAACGCCTTTTTTCTCTCAAAATATCAGTAATAGTTGACTTTCCAACGTGATATTGTAATGCAAGTTCAACATTAGAAAGGTTTGGATTTTTTTCCTTTTTTTCGCAAAGCTCCCGTTTTTGTGCAGCAGAAAGGCTAACTCTTTTTCTTGTTGTCATCGTTAAAGTTTTAAACAGACCTCCGAAAAAAAAATTGATCTACATAAATTTGAAAATTATCACAACTTGCAACCCGATTTACCCATCTATTGCTCAATAAGGATAAGTATTATTTTGTTAATCTTCTATTTACGTATTATATTATTCCTTCTTTTATAACTTATCTTTCATCTTTTTTATATTATAGATTTAAGTAAAAATCCTTCCTCATGCTGTAAGTTTAAATCTCAAATGAAAATCTTAACGAATTTTACTGAAAGAATATAGAATATAAGTTAATTCTATATGCCCATCTCTTTGAATAATTCATTCTTTAAAGAGACAAAATAAATGGTCCTTATATCTATTATTTGAAGCAAAAAAACTCCTTTTCATAAAATTGAGAGCTCCTCTATTGTAATTGACGAAGTGTATGATCCATAATTAGCATATGATAATATTTGAAACTGGTGTTTTGTTGATACAAGCCGCAACAAATAATTTATCCTTCGTAACTATATCTGACTTTATGTGTTGTCCAACAGCTTTAAGTTTACGAGTTTGTTTTGGAATATCTTTGATAAGAAAGTACTAGATGCAATCAAGATTGTATCAAAGTTTTAATTTCAAAAAAGGAATAGCAACGGGAAAATAAAAGGGACATGGTAATATCTATAATTGTATAATAATAAAAAAGGGGTTATGAAATTTAAGATATTATGCAAAAAAATTTTAAAACCCGTTCGTTTATTACATACCAATAAATCCAAACTTTTACAATGAGGCCGATATGATAAGCATCTAATATGATTTTTTAATAATGTCTTCTACAGCAAAAATTATAAGCAAGTAAAAAATTTTTTTTTTATTCATTACATTGGGATAGTAAAATTGACAAAATGGGCATGTAAAAACTCCTTTAAGCATATTTATATTAAATGCAAAAAAAAAAATTTATTAGATCGCAAAAAAAAAAGTAAGACAATGAAATTTCTAAATCAAAATATGATTTCCTTCTTGTCAAACACAAATTAAAAAAAATTAGCTAAAATCGCAAAAAAAAAATTTATTAAATTAACATATCGAGACATATGATTTCATTTCTTGTCAAACGTAAATTAAAATTAGCTAAATTAGTCGATTCAACCACTACGAATTTTACGCCTTATGCTACACCAATTTTTTAAGTCATGTGATCGTTCGGTATATCAAATATATAAATAATATAGTTGGGCCAGTTAAAATGAGTTCGGATGCGGTATATAGCATTTTATTATATAATTTCGTTATAT